TTTAAGTATGAAAGAAAAGTAATTTTAATTTGATTCATTGTTTTTAACAATAATATTATGTGTTATTAATGGTATGTTTTTTTTTCTTTTTTTGAGAAAAAATAAAAATTGCTATATTGGCTGCTTCATATATTGTACTAAAGAAGAAAAACCTGCAGTTTCTGTTTTTTTTTCATAAAAAATCTTTAATTGCCTTGTTATAATTCTGATTGTGAGCCTACCAGCCTGGTCAAGATCATGTGCCCACTAGACCATTCTCAGTTTACTATATATTTTTCATTTTTACTTAAATTGGTTTTCCAATTTTATTCTTTGATTTTATTTACGTTTCTTGCTCTAAGCCTTTATATTTGTTTGTTCTGCCCTTAAATGATGATAAAGAAAAAGATGTCTTTATAATGACAACATCTGATAAGAGCATTTTTTTTAAGATAAAGATTATTTAAGTGTATATATATTGTTTTGAATATAAATTTAATAAAATTTTCAAATGTTTTATTTTGAATGATATTTTTATTGAAATTTTGTAAACTAAAGAATGAAGAATTTACCAAGATTTACTAGAATATTTTCTCTAAATAAAATGTATTAGCATCAATATTCTAATAAGTTCAAAGAACTTAATTAAAATAATTTTAGCTTGTTAAATTTTCTTTTAACAAATGCTTTTGGTAAACCAAAGAGTATAAAGAATCTTAATAATTATAAAATAAAGGGCATTTATAAGTATTAAGTAATTATTCTTCTCTCTGGAGATTTTCAATAGGTCTACTTAGTGATGTGAGTAAATTGAGGTAATTAGTAACAACAGTAGTATAATATTATATATAATATAAACTATAACTTTCTGATTTATTATGTAGTAGATGGCCTTGATAATGATATAAAATAAATAGATTAAATTGAAGCAATTTACTAAATTTATTAATAATAAATATGGTTAAAAAAATAAATCTTCATGATAATTATCAAATACAAAAATTAAGTCAATCTAATTAGCATTAATATTCTGATACATGCAATTTTTTTAACTTTAAAATCATGTATTTTTTTGATTCAAAATAAAATAAATGTTTTCTTACAATTTTGTAAACTAAAACTATGACTCTAAATGCAATTATTTAAGTATAAAAAAGAATTTTATTATTGAATTAAAATTGAATTTAAAAAATATTTACATTAAGAAAATTTTCAGAATAATTAAACACTTATGCAAAATTAGAAACTATAGAATCTAAATTATTACTAAGTATATATTCTTGAGGAATAGAAAAATCTAGTTCTGCTTAAGTTTGATTCTATATTATCATCATTAATCAAAGGATTTCTAGTCTTTAAAATTTTTTTTTGACAGTCATAAACAATATATACTTTCTCTTTTAACCAGTTATTTACTGAATCAATAGGAATTTGATTAAATTCTTTTATAAACCTTTTGGTATCTTTTCTAAAATAAAATAGAATATTTAATAATAAAGAACTATACAAATAAAATTTTTCAATAAATATAATTAATCTATTCATGAATTATTTATTTTCATATGACTATTACATATATTTCTTTATAATAAAAAAATTGAATTAACTACAATAGAAGGCTTTCGTTTAATTGAATGATATAAATTAATTGCACAGGTAATATATACACTTTAACTTAATTTCTATAATAATAATGATAATTTATATACATTACTATATAGCATTACTTTTAAAATCAGAATTGAACATATATGTATTAGAGTTTTAGTGCAATACTTAGCTTTAATGCATAAAAATAAAGTTAGTAATTTTTAATACTCAAAATTATAGAAAAATCAGCATTTAAAACACTATGAACAGTTCAAATTTTCAATCTCTTTTAGGAACAAACTATCTAATGTATATAAATCAGTATATAAATTAGTATCAAATATAACCAGCATTATATATTGGATTATTTAAAATTGGCTTTTTAGGAATATTGATATTTTTTTTATTGTTATATGCAATTTCATCAAAACTACAAGTTTATTGAATACATTTGAAGTTTATGCAATAACTTAAATAGGTAAAATATCACTTAATACTATTGGAATTAAGAAATTTATTTTATACTATCGAATTACAATAAGAACAGTTTTAGATAATCTCTTAGTAGCATTGAACAGATAATATATTTAAAGAAACCAGAAATTATTTATATTATCATTTAATTATTATAATTTATTATCATTATCTCTTAGTCAATTTTTATGAAAAGCTATATAATGAATATAAATCCATACCAGACCTATTTCAATTAAATATAGTATTTAATAGATAATAAATTCCATCTAGTGTCTAGGAGACTGGTGCATAAATCTTTTTACTTTAAAAATATTTTTTCATATTATCTTCATAAGAAAAACATAACTTTAATCATTTTTTAAAATCAAATACAATGCAGGAAAATAGTTTTAAAGTGAGCAGATTTATGCACCACAGTCTCCTAAATATCATTATCATTGGCTAAATAAAAGATTACTTAGCTACTAATGCTCATATATTGTACTTTATAATAAGTTAACTCAACAACTAAGTTATGATTTATAGATATAAAAATTATATATAATTTGTTAAAACTATAAATTCATCAACTAACTCTTGTAATAGTTTAGAGCAACAATAAAATAAATAAATAACTTAATTTTTATTCTTTGCTTCAGATTCATGCAATGTTATATGCTTAAAGTAAATCTCTCTATCTACCAAATCAACAAGACTATTTTGATTATTTAAATCTTTTATCCTTATCAACATTTGATTCTTCAAATGGAGATGAATTAGGTTCTTTCCAAGGTAAGAATTTATAATTAAATAGTAATGATAAGAGAGAATTAATATTTAGTTTTATATAGATACAATTATATTTGAAGATTCTTTGTCCAGTAAATTAACAAATATGCCAGAAATAAGTAATGTTAGCAAAAATAATGTTAATAAGCCTGAACAAGAAGCAAATAGCAAACTGAAAACAAGCATTAATGATATTTATAATTATTGCAAAATTTATAAGTAGCTTTTTGTTACTTCAGTTATATTTAATATTTTGTTTCTTTATTATTTTTTTTATAACTATCTAAACATAGAAAATAACATTGGCTTTTTATATGTTTTCAAGAAGATTGGTCAAAAAATTCTGATTTATTTTATAACAAATAATAGCTATTAAGATTAACAGAAAATTAATAAACAAATTATAACAATAAATTTCTAGTTGATGGTCTTCTACACATCTTTAACACTATATATTTTATACATATTTTTTTTATATATATGGTTTTTGTAGTATTAATAGCTTTTTATTAGATAATAATTTTGAATTAATGAGTTTTTGAATGCTTCTTATAGAATTAAGTTATAGACCTTTGGATTACATTATTTTCTATATTACAAACTTATATATAGGTATCAACCACATCAGTTTTAACACAAAACTCATATTTTTGATACTCACACACTTACTTTTTTGATGCACCTTAATATACCCTAAAATTTTTATACTTTTAATTTATGTTTTATTATAAAACTATACAATGCTATTGGTTAGTTTAGAATATGTTAAGTGTATTATAAAAGCAAGTACAAAAGTATCAAAAACATAAGATTTGCAGTTTTAACAACAAGAGTCATAATATACACATGACCTATATTTGTAGCTTGCATATAAATAAAATATCAGATATGAATTCTTGAAAGCATTTTGCCACAAACAAAAATTTGTAGAACATTTGGTAGTATTGATATTTAGAGTCTTTTATAATAAATCTTTTTTAGAAAGAAAAATTTTATTATATCTTTATAATGTAATTGAAAATAATATATGTTATAAATGAAATTAATAAATACCAATTTACTAAATCTATTTTGCAACTTAAACTTTTATTATTCTTATTTCTCAGAATTGATCACAACATGCAACCTTATTATTAAACTAATAATTGCTATTATCTCTTGTCTAGTGCATCTTAATACTATATAATTATTATTATCTGAAGTGTAGCTTAGGATGTTATAATTCCAGGCATTTGAATTTGAATAGGGTTGTTAATAGAGTAATATACTCTGAAGCAGCTCTGAAGTGAACCCAACCCAAGTTGAAGTGAGTTGAAAATATGAAAAATATGTTGGAGTAAAACTGGAGCAGGTATAAGCAAATCTGAAATAGTTCTAAAGAGAAATATGTCAACCCAAACTACTCTAACCCAACCTATTAACAACTCTAGATCTGAACAATCACAAGATGCACATTTGTCATGCCATGTAATTAGCCAATCACAGATAAAATTTATATCATATACAATAATGTGTCAAATTTGTACCAATTATCTGATTGGCTATGTAGAAATCAATAGCTGAACTTTTAATTAGAGTACATTTTTATATTAATGTTAGATTAGCATAAAACAGGTTTTTAAGATCTTGAAATATTGTTACTGTATTATCTGTTATCATTATATACACATAATGCATGTAATGCAATTTTCATTTTTGGAAATCGAATTCTTTTAAAAACTGGTTTATAAATATATATTGATGCAATAAATTTATAAAAATCATTTTATTTTATATTACATAAACCTTAAATTAGAGTAGTTTTTATATTGAATCCAAATTTGGCTTAAATACATAGTAAAGAATTTGTAAGTTTTCATATACAAAAATTCACTTAATATCGATATTGTGTACTTTAATTGTTATAACTTCTATAGACAGTTCGAATTTTCAATCTTTTTTAGAGCATAATGCAAACAAAATAAAATTTTACAAGATTAGATTGTTAGGTCAATATAGTTCTTAAAATATAAGAAAAGCCACATAATGTACTATATTTATTACAGTAATTAGTATAATTATGAATTATGTTAAACCTAATTTTGATGATGATATTTTTTTGTTAAAGCACGTAATTCAAAAGCCAGAAAAGTTTTTCAACAGATGATGCTATCAAAATTAGTAAGTCTATTGACTGGCTCTTATGCATTTCATCTATTAAATTCTCTCTCATTTTATGCCTTAATGAAGTAAGATTTTACATGAGTACTTTGAAGTAGTTTATTGACTGAACCATATAGTTATTCAAAAGAATTATTAAATTAAAAACAAAATATTGATTTTTTCTACTGAATCATAAGATTTTGAAGTCTGAAAAGTTTATCAATCATGCGATTCCCCTCTTTTGAAGTTTATATGTGATTTTTTTACACAGAAAGATTTCACTCTATTCTAAGAAAAAGGAGTTTATTATACATGTTATATTTCTTTTTTTTAAAAAAAATAATCAACTTCTAACTAAGTAAATTTTCACGTGATTCTGAGGTCATGAAGTATTTTTTAGTTTATTGACTAACCTTTGTGTTGATTCTGAATGGTTGATTCTGAATGATTGATTAAATCAAATAGTAAATATAGAGACTTATTAGAAGAAATTATCAGTTAAATTTTATATATAATATCACAAAATCCAAAAAAAGAACCAATTTAATTCTTTGCCTAAAAAAAATGCCAGCAGCATATAAACCACATAACTGTTAGTACCCTGAAGAGTGTGCTGCATGTATTGGTGATTATTGTAAAATGTATTGAGGAAATATAGTTAATACTGAACAACAGTTGAATACGAGTCTGAAAATTACCAAGATTCAGTTAGGTCTAATTGTGCATTATTTGAGTTAGCATTAGCACATCAAGATAACAATCACTTTCATCAAGAAATGACCCAAATAAGCAACCAAGCCAGTTACTAAACAACTTCTCAAGTCTATCCAATTCAGTTTGGTTATACCTTCCTTTAGGACAATAATTTATTCAACCATCAGAATTAACTACTTTGTTTTAAGGATACTTTCCAATTTTAAAGTAATAACCTGAGTCATAATACTAGTCAATTTCTAGAAGTCACAAACCAGAATACTTTCACAGCTTAAGACATGTTGCTTCATGTGTTAATAATACTCATGGTATTGGACATGCTTAATATCAAACACATCATCCACCTATGCATTTTATTACTCAACCTCAACCTCCACTATCTCCTATACAAACTAATATCCATATCAATAATAATCTTCAAAGACAGTTATCAATTATGTCTCAACCTTTGATTAATCAACAAGAGATTAAAAATTGTATTTGCCAAAAGCTTTAAAATTGTAGTTGTCAAGTTTGAAGAGTATTTTAAATAATTACTGAAACCAAAATAAAGAAGAACCAAAAAATAAAACTATTGCTACATGAAATGAAGATATGAATCGTACTATTACTATCAATAAAAATTATAACCCAAGAAAATATAAATGCATTATTATTACTTTTATTATTTGGAGATAGTTTTATTATTAGGATTTTTTCTGAACAACCAAATCTCAGTCTTATATTATGAGTTTGCTGATAATAACAATAACTTTGTTTTGCATTTAAGGTTTATAGGAAATTTAGTTACAATTATTAGTACTATTATTGGTTTTACTAAATTTTATACTGCTAACAAATAATGTCTTTTTAGCAATTTCATTCTTTATTCGAGAAATTTATAATTTTTCTTTATTAGAACTAAATTCAAATTATGAAAATTTCAAATAAAGTTGTTTTGGATACTGCTACTTTTTGCAATAAAACTATAGAATCGATTTCTGGATACATAACTTTCTGATGTAAATTAGCCAATTAAAATCATTAAGATTAGGAGTATGTAAAAAAAGGTTGCTTTGCTGAAAACAGTGAGCCAATCAAAATTAATAAGCATTTTGTAACTTGGTCAAATTTTAACTAATTAAATCATTACAAAAAATATAACAATAACTGATAATAATAAGTAATTATGATGTTAATCTGATTTGGGTTGACCCCAAAATTAGCCAATCATGATTAAGAATTATTTGTTATTAAAATTTATTACAAAGTAAGTTTTTACACAAAAATAGTCTTTTAAACTTACTTGACTCTATAATTAAGTGTATTGCAATATCTACATGTTCCTATAATTAGGGATGTTAAAGTATCTGTCCTTATTGAACAGGTTTTATGTGACAACTTGTCTTTTTCATTTACTTATTGGCATAGAATTGTTATATCAAATATCGTGCAATAAGATAGTGTTGGGATCAGAAGATTTTGACTCTGTTGCTCTACAATTCTAAATCTCACATAACATATAATAAGTAACCTTTTTGAAAGAAAATGTTAGATTTGGCTAATAGGTGATTAAGACTTTCAGTTACTTTGAATCAACAAATGCAAATCAAGTAAGTCACATTAACAAGAACTTAAACAAATAATAATGGTTATTGTAGTTTATAGAGTTTATAACGATATTAGTGTTAGGGTTTTATAATGGATGATGTAATTTATTAGAACTTGTTTATTAATAAAGCAAACTGAACATGTCATTCTCTAAGGCCATTTTAGGCTTTATTTATATTATCTTTTTAATTATAACTTCATTAATTATATTAATCTTATTAATCTCTTTAATTCAATTTCTCTAATTTATTTACTTAAATCTATTTACTTAATAAATCCCTCTTCTCTAATTAATTTCCTTTTCTAATTAATCCCACTTTCTTGATTTGTTTAATTCATCACATTAATGTGATTAATTGCTAGGATATTTATATTGAAAAATTGATCATTGAATCCATTTTTACATAAGGTCCTAGCATCTTAATTTCATCACATTATTGGGCCTCACAATAGTTATTGTATGAATATGAAAATAACCAAATTACATATATAGGTTCATATTTAAATTCTATGTCTTTAATATAGAATATGAACCCATGTGTAACTGGGTTATTCACTACAAACCCATACAATAACTATAATAGTAAAAAAATATTCACATATACATTTCACAAAAACAATAGCTTAACTTCTTTAGATTTTTTATATGATGGCTTTGGAAATAAACATTAGTAAATTTCCTTCACATAAACATTGCAAATTAATGATAATCAATTTGGATTTGAAAATGAGAAATTATTAAATAATGTAATTAATAAAAGAGACAGGTTGAGAGAT